ATTCGACGTACACGTGTGAAGCTACGGCTTCTGCCTGCATTGTTTATAGCCTGCTGAGCCTGCTGTGCCGACTGCGCCAGTTGCGCAGTGTACTGGAGTTGAGCAGCCCAGGTCATGTATTGTGCCAGGAGGTGTGCATTGTACTGGTCAGCCTGCGGGGTAATAAGCTGTGCCAAGTGCTGCGCAGCTGCAAGTTCAGCTCCAGGTGATGCGCCGACCCCGGCGCCTGATGTCAAGCCACCTGATGCGGAGGTGCTCGACGGGCCACAAGCCGTTTCAGCGCTCTCGGCAGCTGGAACCGAGGAGGCTGTCGCTGACGGTGCTGAGACCACTGGTGTTGCTGATACTGCTGTCCCCGTCGTGCCATCCACACCCGAGACAACCTGAGCGATGGTTGTCTTTTGAATGTGCAGCTGCCGATTGGCACGACATGCCTCCGCGTGCGAGACCGGCGTACGTGGCACGGGCATGGGTTGCTGCGGCGACTCGCCATTGCGTCGCAATCTTGCATCAGCAATCCTGGAACAAGTGTCCTGGAATTGCTGCATTGCCATCTCATACTCCTGTTGATCTATGCCCAAATTTACGTCCTTGACTTGATCTATTGCAAAGTAATGTGCACCGAGCGGGAGAAAAACATGGTTCATACGATGCGTGAGCCACCGAACAGACCGGCGAGGATGACGTTTTTTTAAGCGGCGCAAATACAAAATGTGAAGCTTGTCTGTAAATCCCGATGTTGTGCAGCGCTTCAATTCACCTGCGTACAGCTAGGATTACAAAGGGCAGGGCAGTACGCGCGTTGAGATGATGAGGGGCCACGAGAAATTACAGACCTGTTGTAGCTCCAAGAGTTGGCTGCATAGGGTGGAAAAGCTCCAGGGGCACGGGCATGGTGACATCCCAGGGTGGAAGACGTGCTGGGTCCGGTTGATCCTTGAATAACCTGCGATAAATTTCGTTGCGTCGTGCGCTGAGAGCAACGTAGTGATGGCCCTCATTCGTGTACAGGCCTGCTTCGATACCAGCATCATAGGCGATACGAAAAAGGACAGCGGCGAGTGCCCCGGCTGCACTTGGATCACGTGTGCCAATGGGAATAATAATAATAAATTAGGTGTTTGAACCTCAGAGCTGAAAGCAAAGCTGTGCAACCCCGACATCAACATCACAACGGCACGCAAAACAACACAAGAGAACAAGCTACATTTATCGGCTTCTATCATGCCAAGAAGTACAAGCGCGAAGAATCCTGCACATAGAAACAAAAATCGTACAAAACGACCAAGTATAACCAGAGATCAAACACAAGACACCCAAAAGGGCAGTCACACATCACAAGTATAAGCCATCACAGCACAAACACAATGAACACCACGGCACGCTCACATCCAACGAGACACAACGTCGGATGAGGAAAACAACC